TGAAGTGTTCTGCAGTCAGTCAGTGAAGCGCCCAGGGATAACAGTGGTCAGTCAGTGAAGTGTTCTGCAATCAGTGAAGCGCCCAGGGATAACAGTGGTCAATCAGTGAAGTGTTCTGCAATCAGTGAAGCGCCCAGGGATAACAGTGGTCAATCAGTGAAGTGTTCTGCAATCAGTGAAGCGCCCAGGGATAACAGTGGTCAGTCAGTGAAGTTTTCTGCAGTCAGTCAGTGAAGTGCCCAGGGACAACAGTGGTCAATCAGTGAAGTGTTCTGCAATCAGTAAAGCGCCCAGGGATAACAGTGGTCAATCAGTGAAGTGTTCTGCAGTCAGTTGGTGAAGAATGCACTAACATTTTACTAAAAAGGATATGTAAGCGAGCGCTATTTGAGAATAGATATAACTATTTATATTTAGGTAGCTGCTGGCACTCAGGGTGTAGGCAACGATTCCAATGTAAACATGGATAAAGTGTAGCGCTATAAACGCACAATCTGTATAAAGATATTGATGCGGTAATCAATATAAATTATGCTCTTAATAGTGTAATCAAAAGGTATATAAAAAGAATAAAGTGCAAAACAGTGCAGCAGTGCAAATAAGTGAATCAATCAATGTCCATATATTACTATATATCAATCAGAAAATCTCAGTCGATAATAGTCCTCAAATCAATTGCAATGTATCTAAGTGCAAACTTGCAAAAATCCACGAAGGGAATCCACCACCTTGGACAGATGTACAATCACCAGAAAGCAAACATTATTAGGCATCTGTTAAAACTTGTCACATCTGGAGGTGCAGAGGCAGCCCAGGGGTTAATCCTACTGCTTCATCCGTATGCAAGTGAGGAGAGTATCCTTTGTCCTGGGAAAGATAGCTCAACCACAGGAGCCAGAAACGCTAATATAGTGTAGTATTTATTATTTATATAAATGTATCACAAACAGCTTTAAAATTCCACGTGGAGTATGATAAAAGCAAATACCAAGATGGCCGCCGCTCCGTTCCTCGGCAGTGGCGGCGTGACATCAGCAATGTAGGCTCCATCCAACGCGTTTCGTGTGACAGCACGTCTTCAGGGGTATGCTGATTCGCACGAAACGCGTTAGTTTAGCCTACTTTGCTGACGTCATGTCGCCACTGCCGAGGAACAGAGCGGTGGCCATCTTGGTATTTGCTTTTATCATACTCCACGTGGAATTTTAAAGCTGTTTGTGATACATTTATATAAATAATAAATACTACACTATATTAGCGTTTCTGGCTCCTGTGGTTGAGCTATCTTTCCCAGGACAAAGGATACTCTCCTCACTTGCATATGGATGAAGCAGTAGGATTAACCCCTGGGCTGCCTTTTTACCTCTGAACCTCCAGATGTGACAAGTTTTAACAGATGCCTAATGTTTGCTTTCTGGTGAGTGTACATCTGTCCAAGGTGGTGGATCCCCATTCGTGGATTTTTGCACGTTTGCACTTAGATACATTGCAATTGATTTGAGGACTATTATCGACTGAGATTTTCTGATTGATCTATAGTAATATATGGACATTGATTGATTCACTTATTTGCACTGCTGCACCGTTTTGCACTTTATTCTTTTTATATACCTTTTGATTACACTATTAAGAACATAATTTATATTGATTACCGCATCAATATCTTTATACAGGTTGTGTGTTTATAGCGCTACACTTTATTTATACAAGTAACATTTTACTGTTCATTAGTTTACTCCCCACAAGTTCTAGGCACAGCCGTTCATACCCCTCTTTATCAGCCATTGTTGCTATCTATGGCAGTACTATGCGCTCCCTACATTACTCCCTGCATACTTCAGCACTGGGATAGCCAAACTAAAAACAGCACGGGTCCTCCCACCTGAGCTCAGCACTACATAGGCAAAACAGTTGGCACCCTGACCGCCACCTGGTGCAATAAAGTTTGCTGTATTCAATCACTACGGCACCCTGACCGCCACCTGGTGCAATAAAGTTTGCTGTATTCAATCACTACGGCACCCTGACCGCCACCTGGTGCAATAAAGTTTGCTGTATTCAATCACTACGGCACTCTGACCGCCACCTGGTGCAATAAAGTTTGCTGTATTCAATCCCTACGGGTCTCTCCAAATGAGAATCTTATTGACCAATGAGGGCGAAGGCCCTGCTTTTCATCAATTGGCGACGGAAGTGACGTTTTGGACTCAGAATCTGTCGCCGGCTGAGGAGTATGGAGAAGCCGCAAAGCCAGCGCTCTGGTACAGGAGAGGAAGTGGAGGAAGAAGACTTCCATGACTGCGCGGAGGAGCCGGAGAGAGTGAACGGAGAGTCGGAGGAAGAGTTCACAGTGCTGGAGGCGGAAGAGTGCGCTGTAGAGAAGCCTGTTCTCTTGGAGAAGAGAGGTCCTGAGCCTGACAAGAGGAAACCTGAGCTTTTCACCAGGGAGGAGGGAGATCCCGAGCCTGTCATGGCTGAGAAGGGAGAAGCTGAGCCTGTCACCAGGGAGGAGGAGGAGGGAAGTCCTGATCCTGTAAAGGAGACTGAGATGGGAGATATAGAGATGGAGGAGGAGGTCCTGCAGGAAATGGAGAAGGACATGAGTGAGGATGAGAGAGAGGTGAATACTGGGAGGAGGAGGAGGAGGAGGAGATATTTGTGAAACAAATAATGGTTGAAAGTAAAGCTTGCACACACTGATGGGGATTATGTTTTTTTTTTTTTTTAAGCTGTAGTCCTTATGTATGGAGCGCCTGGTATCATAGCACCATACTGTGACTGACAGGCGCTGTTAGCAGTCAGTGGGGTAAAATTTCTTCATCCTGTGTATTGTTTATAGAGATGAATAAAGGTAATCCGGCAGTGACCATGGCTGCCTCATGGCAGATTCTCCCATGTATGGTAACTTTAAAGTGAACCTGTGGCCAGGCAATTCACATTCAGATATTAACATTCTTAAAGGGGTAGTAAACCTTGTATTTAAAAAAAAAAAAAAAAAAAAACACTTTTCCCCTGCAAGGCAATTTCATAATGTGCTAGTATGCATTGCATACTAGCACATTATGTGAAACTTCCATTAAAACGAAGCCCTCAAGGTGGTGCTCTGTCACTGCTGACAGGGCTTCCATGTTCACGCAGTCCTTCTCCTGGGTTCACGGGCTCCGGCGGCTGGAATGGCCAAGCTGCGACAATGTCACTCCCACGCAGGAGTCACTTTTAACGGTATACAGCTGTGAAGGAACAGCACGGGTATACTGTTCCTTCAGGACTCATGCACTTGTGCTGCTTTACAAGTAAATATCTCAGAAACGGTACATGTTTAGGAGATCTGTAGGTACAAGTAAGAAAACAGACTTTACTACCACTTTAAATTGGTTGCGGATGCTGAAGGGTTTTTTTTTTTTTTTTTTTTTTTTTACCTTAGGTAAAAAAACTTTTTGTGTGCTGTTCCCCCTCTTTCAGCCCAATTTATACTTATCTGAGCCCTTCTCCATCCAACGATGTGCAAGGGAGTTGTCCCAGGTGTGTCTCTCCTCATTGGCTAAGACACAGCAGTTGGAGCCATTGGTTAACGCTGCTGTCAATCACAGCCAGTGAGCCAATGAGAGCAGGGGGCAAGTTGAGCCGTGGCTCTATGTGTCATAGAGCAGGGCACAGGAACAAGCACACACCAGTGCGCCAATAGGAAACCATTGCACAGAGCAGGTAAGTATGACATGTTTGTCATTGAAAAAATAAAAAATTAATATCGCTTTAACAAGCAGTAAATGAACTTCAAAAGATGCCTTCTCTGACATCTGTAGCTGAGCTGCCAAGTCATTTTTGGGAGCTCAGTCAGTACTAGAAGGCGGAAGCTGTGCTAATATATTATTGCTGGGAGGAAGGAGCTGAGCTTCAGTATCAGTGCTGGGAGAGGGTAGTAGGTGGACTGAGCTGCTGAGGAACAATTTGGACTTTCAAGATGAATTGCTGTAAAGTGCTGGCAGCTGCAGAGATTATGAAGGTTTGTTTTCAAACTGATTTACGTTGATTATGAAAATGTTTGTTTGATTCTGATTTGTAGATTATCAAAATATTTGAATGCTCATAGTCTGGCAACAGGTTTACTTTAAAGTGCATGAGCTCTGTTGACAAGCTAATCTCTCAAATACTGCCTTAGGAAATCAAACAGTGAATTTATTGCTTGTTGTGGGCAGACCAGAATGAGGCAATACTTTCTTTGGATTATTTCCTGAATGACCTCTCTGATAGAGGAATGGGTGATTTGTGAATAATGTGGTTTACTGAAATGTAATGATAGAGAGAGACAGGGTTGATTGATCAGAGAAAGCTGACACTGGGCTGAAGTGGGAGGACAGGTGGCAATCCAGGTGAGTGACAAAATGGTTAGGTGGCTGTGAAATCTAGTAGCTGGCTATGGGTCAGTAAGGTTGCCCACCACATTAAAAGGCCATATATAAGAGAAGGCAGAACCAAGCTCAATCTTCACATGGAAAATTGATATCTGCACCTATATTTAGCTGCCTGTATCTGTGGATCAACTGAAAATGTTGACTTGCACGACATAGGCAGTAGATTGGTAGTGACAGTTGGGTAAGTGATAGGCAAGCCAATTAGTTTTTCACACATATGGAATTGCTTTTGCTACCACAATACTTTTTGATTAAGATGGCGTTTTCATTGTAGCTGTTAAGTTTCAAGCTACAATGTTAAGAAGTCAATGTTCCTTTTAATTAAGGGCTTTGGAATTCTATTTGAATAGCTGTCAGGGAATGGTAATGGCTATATATACACTATACAACATTTCTATGGCGTTATTGCAGTGTATTCTGTTGTAGCATACCACCAGCAAAGTGCCTCACTGCACCAGAATAACAATAGTAACTTGTTTGGAGATGGTTATGGTGAACATCATTAATAAGTGTTTGTTGCTTGTTTTGCAGGGGGGGGGGGGGGGTTGTGATGTTGGGACATGGGTATAAACCAGTCATTGTCATTTTTCAAAGGACAGAAGAAAGGAGAGCACTCGTTTAAAAGAAGAAGGAAATGAGCTGTTTAAGAAAGCAGGTAAGCATAACTTCAGTTTATGAAACCAGCTGTAATCAGGTTGTGGCATGGTGGGACAAAGGTACCATAAAATCTCTTGGATAAACACTGAGAAGTACAGGCGTGCCTTCTTATTTAGTATTATTATTTAGGTATTTTACATCTCCAGTCAGCAGTAAGAGCTCTAGGCACATTTTTAATAGCCTATTTACAGTGCTCATTAGCTCAAGCTTAAATTTGCACACACAGCTGAAAGAATCCATCCTTTGATTATTTCTCCCACTTCTTGTCTGCTCTTTGTGGCTTTTTTGACACCATCACCCATTATGCTGTCTCAGAAGGGGATACATGGACAGATACCCTGCAGAGCTGGAGCAGGACAAAAACAAATGTCATATATTTGACATTATGTCCGTTCAGATTTTTCCTCCATCTTGTGATGAAAAAAAAAAACAGACCCATATAATCCCTATGGGTGGTTGAATGTTAGTACATGTGCATCTTCCTATATACACACACATTCAGTCAGGATTAAAAGTGGACTGGGTTGAAAACTTCTTCCATTTGGTCTGACAAACCTGGTTTATATATAGGTGGCATGTCTGCTTACATCTAGCGCCCCATAACAGATACATTGCACTGGCAGTGACTGATGGAAAAAACCATGTGAAAGGGGCCTATGGCTCCTCCCAGATGCTTAAGTGAGAGAAACTGATTTCCTCATCTGTAAAAGTTTTATGTGGTGAAATGTTTTGTTTTGCTTTGGCTCAGATTACGTTGAAGCTGAAAACGTCTATTCTCAAGCTCTACAGAAATGTCCAGCCTTTTACAAGAAAGACCGATCTATTCTTTTTTCCAACCGAGCAGCTGCTAGACTGAAACAGGTAAAGAAATGCCTAGCTGCTGTTTTCTGCAGTGTTGGGAATGAGCAGGTGTACAGAAGTACAATTACTTGTTTCAGAACAAATACATTGGGAAAAAAGTGGAAGCTTTCTTTTCAGGAACCTGTATCAAGTTAAAGCTGAGGTTTAGTAATATTTTCTTTCTTTTTGGAATACAGCACTAAACACATTAGTTATTTGTAATGCTGCATACCCTATTACTTGCAGGCAGCTGCTTCTGGTAAAAACCTTCTCTGCTGTGCCTCCACAGAGCCGTCACACTGTCCTGAATAGCTGTCTTCCGGCACTGTGAAGCAACTGCTGCTACTGAGAAAAGTTGTGGTGCTGGCGGCCCCCTTCTGTCCTTTTTACATTTCACAGATTTCCCACTATTATTGCCTCACAATACATATGAATGAAGGCAGAGCAGTTGAATGAAAGGATCCCCCCCCTGCCTATTCATAGAATGCAATGTATTGTGAGATAATAGTTGGAGTTCTGTGAGTGAAAGAGAGGTCAGAAGTGGATGGGCAGGAAGCACAATATATTTCGTGAGCAGTAACTGATAGTTATCTTTACAGCACTGTAAAACAGTTGTACAGGACCCTATCTGGTGGCTCTGAGGAGACCCAGCAGGGAAGATTCCCCCCCTCATCCCAAATAAAACCTTTCCACTAACTCCTTTTGACTAGTAGATCACTGATAAGCTAGTTATCTAGTTATGAATCGCATGTGTAAAGTCAATCAGATCTGCAGGACAAAGTAAATACTCAGGTCATTGAAGCAGCATATACTTATCTTTTCCTCATTCCCCGCTGCTTTGTTTGCAGAGAGCTGCCAAAATTGCTCCGTTTAAACCGCAGATGACTGTCACTTACTGGTTCATGCTCACAAGCAATTGGCACAAATTTGCTTTATTATGTCCCTGAACTTGAAAAGTGAATAATTGCCGTCTAGCATTTTAGAAATGTTAAAGTGTACCTATAGCCTGATTTTTTTTTTTTTTAATTTTTTTTTTTTTCTAATTTTTTCATTTTCTCCACTGGGCCAATTCTGACATTTCTCTCCTACATTTAAAAATCTGTATTTTTTTTCTAGAAAATTTCATAGAACCCCTAAACATTTTATTCTATCTTTTCATGTGACAACACTGAAGAAATGACACTTTGTTACAATGTAAAGTAGTGAGTCTACAGCTTGTATAACAGTGTAAATTTTCTGTCCCCTCAAAATAACTCAGCACACAGCCATTAATGTCTAAACCGCTGGCAACAAAAGTGAGTACACCCTTAAGTGAAAATGTCTAAATTGGGCCCAATTAGCCATTTTTCTGCCCCGGTGTCATCATGTGACTCGTTAGTGTTACAAGGTCTTAGATGTGAGCAGTTGTATTAAATTTGGTGTTATCGCTCTCACTCTCTCATACTGGTCACTGGATGTTCAACATTATTAATATACAGGATTTATATAGCGCCAACAGTTTGCTCAGTGCTTTACAATATAACGGGAGACAATACAGCAACAATACAGTTCAATACAAGAGGGATTTGAGGGCCCTGTTCCTTGGAGCTTACAATCTAGGAGTGGTTCTACTCAGAACACGTGCTCAGCGTCATATCCAGAGGTTGTCGTTGGGAAATAGACGTATGAGTGCTGCCAGCATTGAGGGCTGCAGAGTTTGAAGGGGTGGGGGGTCAGCCTCTCAGTGCTCAGATCATACACCGCATCCAAGTGGTGTGCATGGCTGTCGTCCCAGAAGGAAGCCTCTTCTAAAGATGATGCATAAGAAAGCTCACAAACAGTTTGCTGAAGACAAGCAGACTGAGGACATGGATTACTGGAACCATGTCCTGTGGTCTGATGAGACTAAGATAAACTGATTTGGTGCAGATGGTGTCAAGCGTGTGTGTGGTGGCAACCAGGTGAGGAGTACAAAGACAAGTGTGTCTTGCCTACAGTCAAGCATGGTGGTGGGAGTGTGATGGTCTGGGGCTGCATGAGTGCTGCCGTCACTGGGGAGCTACAGTTCATTGAGAGAACCATGAATGCCAACATGTACTGTGACATACTGAAACAGAGCATGATCCCCTCCCTTTGAAGAGTGGGCCGCAGGGCAGTATTCCAACATAATGACCCCAAACACACCTCCAGGACGACCACTGCCTTGCTAAAGAAGCTGAGGGTAAAGGTGATGGACTAGCCAAGCATGTCTCCAGACCTAAACCCTATTGATCATCTGTGGGGCATCTTTAAATGGAAGGTGGAGGAGCACAAGGTCTCTATCATCCACCAAGTGGAAGAGGACTCCAGTGGCAACCTGTGAAGCTCTGGTGAATTCCATGCCCAAGAGGGTTAAGGCAGTGCTGGAAAATAATGGTGGCCACACAAAATATTGACACTTTGAGCCCAATTTGGACATTTTCTCTTGGGGTGGACTCACTTTTGTTGCCAGCAGTTTAGACATTAATGGCTGTGTGTTGAGTTATTTTGAGGGGACAGAAAATTGACACTGTTATACAAGCTGTACACTCACTACGTCACATTGTAGCAAAGTGTAATTTCTTCAGTGTTGTCACATGAAAAGATAAAATAAAATATTTACAAAAGTGTGTGTGTGTGTGTGTGTGTGTGTGTGTGTGTGTGTGTGTGTGTGTGTGTGTGTGTGTGTGTGTGTGTGTGTGTGTGTGTGTGTGTGTGTGTGTACGTACACACAGTGAGGAACAGAGGTATTTGAACACCCTGCGATTTTGCAAGTTCTCCCACTTAGAAATCATGGAGGGGTCTGAAATTCACATTGTAGGTGCATTCCCCACTCTGAGAGATAGAATTAAAAAAATAATTCAGAAAATCACATTGTATGATTTTTAAAGAATTTATTTGTCTTGCACTGCTGAATATAAGTATTTGAACATCTAAGAAACAGCAAGAATTCTGGCTCTCAAAGACCTGTTACTGTGCCATTAAAAAGTCCACCTCTACTCCACTCATTAATCTAACTTAGTAGCACCTGTCTGAGCTCTTTAAAGACACCTGTCCACCCCACAGTCAGTCAGACGCCAACTACTACTATGGGCAAGACCAAAGAGCTGTCAAAAGACATCAGAGACAAAATTGTGGACCTCCACAAGGCTGGAAAGGGCTACGGGGCAATTGCCAAGCAGCTTCGTGAAAATAGATCAACTGTTGGAGCAATTGTTAGAAAATGGAAGAGGCTAAAGACGACTGTCAGTCTCCTTTGGACTGGGGCTCCATGCAAGATCTCACCTCGTGGGGTATCACTGATGATAAGAAAGGTGAGGAATCAGCCCAGAACTACAAGGGGAGGAGCTGGTCAATGACATAAAGAGAGCTGGGACCACAGTTTCAAAGGTCACTGTTGGTAGAACACTACGCCGTCATGGTTTCAAATCATGCATTGCACGGAAGGTTCCCTTGCTCAAGTCATCACATGTCCAGGCCCGTCTGAAGTTTGTCAATGACCATCTGGATGATCTAGAGGAGGCATGGGAGAAAGTCATGTGGTCAGATGAGACCAAAGTAGAACTTTTTGGTCTAAACTTCACTCGTTGTGTTTGGAGGAAAAAGAAGGATGAGTTGCATCCCAAGAACGGCATCCCTACTGTGAAGCGGGGGTGGGGTAACATCATGCTTTGGGGGTGCTTTTCTGCGAAGGGGACAGGACGACTGCACTGTATTAAGGAGAGGATGAATGGGGCCATTTATTGTGAGATTTTGAGCAACAATCTCCTTCCCTCAGTCAGAGCATTGAAGATGGGTCATGGCTGGGTCTTCCAACATGACAACGACCCGAAGCACACAGCCAGGATAACCAAGGAGTGGCTCCGTAAGAAGCATATCAAGGTTCTGGAGTGGCCTAGCGAGTCTCCAGACCTAAATCCAATAGAACATCTTTGGAGGGAGCTGAAACTCCGTGTTGCTCAGCGACAGCCCCGAAACCTGACAGATCTAGAGGAGATCTGTGTGGAGGAGTGGGCCAAAATCCCTGTTGCAGTGCAGACCTGGTCAAGAACTACAGGAAACGTTTGACCTCTGTAATTGCAAACAAAGGCTTCTGTACCAAATATTAACACTGATTTTCTCAGGTGTTCAAATACTTCTGTTCAGCAGTGCAAGACAAATAAATTCTTTAAAAATCATACAATGTGATTTCCTGATATTTTTTTTTTTTTTTTTTTAAATTCCATCTCTCAGAGTGGGAATGCACCTACAATGTGAATTTCAGACCCCTCCATGATTTCTAAGTGGGAGAACTTGCAAAATCGCAGGGTGTTCGAATACTTCTGTTCCTCACTGTATATATATACACACACATACATATCAGTGGTCCTAAAATGGTGGATGTTGCTTTTTTTTTTTTTTTTTTTTTGTTTTGTTTTATGTCACAAGGTATTTGCACATCTTTTTTTTTTTCAAACGCATTACGATACCTAACATGTCATGCTTTAAAATTGCATACGCCTGTGGAATGGCACCAAACTACAGAAACTACAGTACCTAAAAATCTCCATAGGCAATGCATTAAAAGCCTTTACAGGTTACGAGTCTAGAGATACACAGGACGTCTGGAGCTAAAATTATTGCTCTCCCTCTGATGTTTGCATCGATACCTTACAAGTGTGGTGCAACCATCATTTACATATGCGTGTGGGACTTGCAGATCAATTTACATTTGCATATATGCGCATTTAATTTTTATTATATAGTTTATTTGAAACTTTTTTTTTTTTTTTTTTTTTTACACATTCTCTTTTTAATTTTTTTAGCAACTTTATTGCTTCCACAAGAGATGAGCAACATCCCTTGTTAAAACATAGGCTGTGACAGGTCCTCTTTATGGAGAGTGACCCTAGCCAAATTGACAGGTACCGCTCCACCAGGTCCTCCTGTGCAGCAACCGCTTGTAGTGCAGACAAGGACAGAGCTTGTCCCAGCTGTAGACATCTAATGGAAAAGTGAAAAGTCTTGGAAGTCACACATCTGCAGAACACTTTCCTTTTTCCATTAGCTCTTTATGGAGAGATTTGGGATCTATTAGACCCAAATCTCTCCTCTGGTCTTCAATCCAGGCGATCAGACACAGATCGGTCTGATCAGCTGTTTACCTGGCCGCCAATGGCCAAGTAAACAAAGAGCTGGAAGTGACAAACTCCTCGTCGCTTATGGTTCTGGGGGTCACACAGGGAGTTCCTCTGCCTCTGTGTAGTGCTGCCGGTCGCATCAGTCCTGAGCTCTGCGATCAGACAGGAGATTCTGGGAAAGGTAGAGGTAGTGGGACACCCTTCCGCTACCCGTAGAAGTGATTGAGTGACTGTTCAGCGTTACAGGGAATCGGCAGCAGAACATTTTGACACCAGGATGATGCCTTTCGCAGAAAGGAAGCATTACAAAGAGAACTGGATAGTTTTTCATACAAGTACATAGTACAGCAGACACATATCAGGAATATAAAATGTTTGGTTTATATATTATTTAAATGATCTCCAAACAAACCAGTAAATACAGAATTGAATTGTATATGGGAAAGAATTCTGTTTAGTCAGTCTCGCTATCGAATCACACGGTCAGGTGTAACACTGAGTTTTATCACTGAATAAATTCCACATCCTAGGCAACTAATGTTTAAGTGCCTCTGCTACACTATCCTAATTGGGGCTTTTTTCAACTACTTTCACTTCTAGTTCTTTGGCATGCATGTGTTGATTTTGCCCTTCATCTGAGCTGCAAATAAAGATTGTAGCAAGCCTCGGCTGCACAGAATATGAACAAGATAGGATGAACCTCTTTACCCATTTTCCTGAGTGAGAGATCTGCTTATTGCCTCATGTATTGCCGTAAGCATTACAACTTATGTGTATTTTCATCATCTGCTTTTACAGGACAAAAAAGACCTTGCTCTAACCGACTGTACCAAAGGTATGTTTGTTTTCTGATTTTACTTAATCTCATTCTACATTTGTATGTAGAAGTTAGGGCATCAGTTGACATCCTCTGTAGATTTCCCATGTGAAATTAATGTAAAGTCATTTTGACTTGGCCTGAAATGTGTCCAATGTTACAATATGGCTGATGTGTAGCACCTTGTGGGGCCTGCAAGAAGGTGTGTTAGTACAATACTGTGTAAAGTATTGTATATGTAAACCTTTACCAGTTCAGTTTAAAATTGACTTGCAAGGTAAAAACATTTGTGTACACATATTAAAAAAATAATAAATACCTTTTTTTTTCCCCTATAAGTGACCACATGACCTACATCCTTAGTTGCATAAGGGGCTTAAAGAGCTGGGGTTGGAGACTGCAAGGGGGGGTGTCAGCAGGCAGCAAAAAGAAAGCCGTACACAGATCTTCCCAGTGAACAGCTGTGCAGGGAGGCATGTGGGAATAAGTCTTGGCCATTGAAGGACAGACAGGCTGTGCTCCTAGGACAGCCAATGAACTGACCATGCCAGGATGGCTGTGCTCCCATGTTTAGCATGGTCAGTTTGAAAAAAGAAAGCACTGGGACTGGTGGGTCACCAGGTATTACACACAAAGGAAGCAATGCAAAGAAAACAGGATCCTTTTTAACACAAGTACATGATATAAAAGGCACATATCAGGAATGTGAAATGTTGGGGTAAAATGTCATATGGAGCCCCAGGAATCTTAAACATAGGAAGTAGATGCTAACACTGGGTGTTTCCTTAACAAAGATGGCATCTGTCATAAAAATGAGCCTTTGTCGATGGTAGAACTATGATTTCTGTTAGATGTAATAAACACACAATACCTATGTTCTATTTCATATGTCAGTTCATGCAAGAACCATCCCCATAGAGACCCAGTCTGTGTAAAGAATATGCCAGCATTCTAAATTGATCTGAAAGATCCACAGGCAGTTTACTCTCCAAGAAGACACAGAAGTAGAATCCAATATAGTTTTAATGAATTTTGCCACATACTAGGGATATTTTCCTATTATTCAATAAGGTAAACAACCATCTTCCAAAGTCTGCTAGCCTGCATAGGCAGGACCTAAACTGATTACATATAAACAGGATGTTTGTGGTAGCACAATTTAGCATGAAAAATATATTCAATGCTAGATCAGCTTTGTTATCCCTTATAAAATGAACAGATCATGAAATTTGACCAATGGTGCCCACAGCCTTTCCATACATTGGTGTATAATCCTGTGCTTATAAGTTACATCGGTGTGTCTGGGATTAATATATATGTCATCAAAGGAGGGTTCATTTGTCTATATTTTTGATTACAGCAATTGAGCTAAATCCTGACTATGTCCGCGCCTTACTGAGGAGAGCTGAATTATATGAGAAGACTGAAAAACTTGACGAGGCCTTAGCTGATTACAAATCTGTTCTGAATCTAGATACATCATGTCGCCAAGCCAGGGAAGCATGCATGGTAATATACTTTAAAAGGCCTTTTAGCTGTAATAAATTTATGTGAGACCAACTAAAACTAACAGTGAACCCAATTCATGATGTCCAGTTCCTCTTGTGTGTATCCCAGCAGGGAAAATGTTGATCAGCACATGAAAGGTATAATTGTTTTTTCAGCAGAATTGTTTAAAGACTGAAGAAAGTATCTAAGGTATTCTGGAAGCTTGCATCATTGTTAACTTAGGAGGAAATGAACCTCCCCTATTTTATTTTTTTTTTTCCATCCCATCTACACTTTTTTTTTTTTATATATTGGGTTGTCTGTAATAAATGTAATCGCAAATCCAGCATTGATCTTGTGTGATCCATTGGTTTGCACTGCACACCAGAACCCTTGCCACCATCTTCTTTGACATCATCAAGAGCCAGATGTCTCTTCTAGGTTCTTGCAGTTGACCCCCTGATGACACACCATCAGGACATTCTTCCTCTAACACTGTAAAGCTTGTTGAAATGTAAATGTATTGCAGAAATGTACTGAATGTTAATTGTGTTATTTTGCCCAGAAATACACTTTAAAATAGAAACAAATCCCACTTTAAATTGTACCTAGAAGTAAGGCTATAACAAGGCTTACCTTTTAATAAAGTAAATATCTCCTAAACTTGCACTGTTTAGGAGATATTCACACAGGATGCAACCGGTGACATCACTGGCACATGCGCTCTGAAGGGATGGCATACCTGTGCCATACCTTTAGAGCTCTGTGTCGGGACCATGATGTCATCACGACCCTGGCCCTTCATACAGTCAGAGTCTGCGAACCTGGAAGGAAGACCTAGTGAAGATAGAAGCACCGGGGAGCCGTGACAGCACTTCATTGGAAGGTGGTGCATACTAGTACATTATGACTTAAAAGAGAAGTATGGGGTTTGTTTTTTTGTCTCCAAATTATACTTACCTAGGTAGATGCAGCATTGGTCCAATGATGCATCTGTCCCCCATCAGTGAGAACTCCGTGATCACATGATCGCTGAGTTCTCACAGTCGCTCTGAGCAGAGAGTGGTGATTGTCAGTCACCACTGTCTGCTCTGATACCACCCCCACCCCCCAGCGCTCACTGGAGTGCTGTGCTGTGGAGGAGGAGGGAGCGGCTGGCTCAGGCTCTCAGCGGATTCCTGAGAAACTGAGGCAGATGCTGCTCCAGACCCTGGGGTGGATCCCGAGTTTAAAGTCTGGATCTTTCCCCAGCCTGGACCGGCTGAGTGATATCAGCTGACGGCGGGCTTCAGCCCGCCGTCAGCTGAAAACTGGTCACAGGAGTGCAGAACGAACTGCACTCCTGTGATCCACAGTACAGAACGAACTGCACTCCTGTGATCCACAGTACAGCCAAAAGAGCTTTGGCTGTACTTCTCCTTTAATCCTACAGGGGGCCTTTTTATTTTTCTTTTTTCTTTTTTTTCCTTTGGGCGGTTTCTACCGCTTTTAATAAATTATATACTTGCATGATAGTTTTAGCAACGAGTAAGAAAAAAATCTTACACAAATAACTTTATTTTGTGTATGTTTCAGCGCTTACCTAAACAGATTGATGAGAGGAATGAGAAAATGAAAGAAGAAATGATCAGTAAGTAACCAGGTTTTCCTCTTTCACAAACTGTGGGTTCTAAGTATCTTACAGCCAAAATATGGATTCACGTTTTAAATTACTTTCTCATCGGCCTGTGATTACCAAATATATCCCATTGTGTTTCCCCCTTTTTCTTTTGGGAGCTTCTTGCTTTACCTGCCAAAGGATATGTTCTTCTCTGTAGCAAGATTTGTGATCCAGACAGATTAGCCTGGTCTGGACTTTTACTGCAACTTCAATATTCTATCATATCCCATAAACACCCCCAGCTTGCTGACTGGTTAGTACAGAAGATGCACATTTATGAAGTTGTCTCTGCTCTGTCATCAAGTTTACCACAGAACATATGGCACTGCCACAGAGCTTGTGCTGTCCCTCTCTCTTAGCGGAATTATGCTTTTATGCTGGGGATGACAGGAAGCTGCTAAGAAGACAAATGCAGGTGCTGTTGGTGAATTGGTGTTTTTATATCTGCCTGTAGTTTGTCTTAAAGCTGAAGTTGAATATTATTTACAGAGGGATTTTAAAGCAATTGCAGTGCAAGGTCCTACTGAAGAGCTGGTTTGGGGGCAAGGGCCAATGCAGTTAATTTTATGTACCCTCTAAAATGCTATATAAATAAGAATTACTTATCAATTTGTTTAGTATATAGTTTACATTTTTGCTCTAAATTTACTGCTTTGAAAATCTATTAAAAATCCTCCCCTAGGCTTTACATTCCACTAGTGGAGAAGCTCTGATACATGTCTAGCTTGTGACACATGCCCATAGTACTCTGTGACCAAGCCCGTAGTAGGCAGGGCAAAACATGTCAGGGGGGGTGGCCAGAGCAGTGCTGCCCGAGGCCATATACCATCACAAACACCTCTAGCACTGAGTCGGTTGAGTGGTATCTCACTTCTGCATGCCTTACACTTCTGGATCAGTGGGTAGATGCCTGTTTACACATCCTAAGACTGGTGGGGGAAACTTTCATCCAACAGCTCTGAGCAGCGCTAAAAGCCCTACACAACCTATATGCACTGTACACTCAAAACATACAGTGCTCTCCTTACTCGCATATATAACGTTCCCTTAATCAATAAAGTGTTGAATAGTACATACAAATTTCTGTATGTAAAAAATCCTTCAAAAATTGCACATATATGCCAAAAGTATTTGAAACTCCGGAATCCAATGATTTTGAGAGGTGTCCTATCACCTCCATGGCCACAGGTGTATAAAATCAAGCACCTAGGCATGCAGACTACTTCTACAAACATTTGTGAAAGAATGGGTCGCTCTCCAGAGCTAAGTGAATTCAAGCGTGGTACTGTGATAGGTTGTCACCTGTGCAATAAGTTGTGAAATTTCCTTGCTATTAAATATTCCACGATCAACTGTTAGTAGTATTATAACAAAGTGTAAACAACTGGGACCAGCAGCAGCTCAGCTATGAAGTGGCGTCAGTGCATGCTGAGGCATACAATGTGCAGAAGTCGCTAACTGTCTGCAGAGTCAATAGCTAAAGACCTCCAAACTTTATGTGGCCTTCAGATTAGCACAACAGTGCATAGAGAGCTTCATGGAATGGGTTTCCATGGCCGAGCAGCTGCATCCAAGCCTTACATCACCAAGTGCATTGCAAAGCGTCGGATGCAGTGGTGTAAAGCACGCTGCCACTGGACTCTAGAGCAGTGGAGACGTGTTCTCTGGAGTGACTAATCATGCTTCTCTGTCTGCCAATCTGATGGACGCCAGGAGAACGGTACTAGCCTGACTGCATTGTGCCAAGTGTAAAGTTTGGTGGAGGGGGGATTAGGGTGCCGGGGCTGTTTTTCAGGAGTTGGGCTTGGCCCCTTAGTTCCAGTGAAGGGAACTCATAAGGTGTTCCTTACCAACCCAATAGAACACTTTTGGGATAAATTAGAGCAGAGACTGCGAGCCACGCCTTATCATCCGACATAAGGGCCTGACCTCACAAATGCACTTCTGGATGTATGGTCAAACATTCTCATAGACACACTCCTATACCTTGTGGACGGCCTTCCCAGAAGAGTTGAATCTGTTCAATCTGCAAAGGATGAGCCACCTCAATACTGAACCCTATGGACTAAGACTGGGATGCTGAGTGTGTCCCCTTCCTTTTAAAAAGTGCATATAAACACAAATATTTTAGCCTATAAATAAATTCTTTCATATAAAGTGATGTTCTTTGTCAGATTCTCATGCAGTTTGTACACGGATGATGACATAGAAAATATACGTATAACTAATCTTCAAAAAGAGATGAAGTATTCCAATCTGTCAAATATCTTCCTTCTCAAATCCAAATTTTCACCTTGTGATAACCTCTGCTTCAAACACTCCAGCCCTTTTTTGGGGATTAAATGAAGAAGTGGTATTGACCCCCAAGTATAATAGGCAGGTCACACCACCCTTGTGTTCCTTCCCATATGTCACTTTTAGCTCCATTCTATCCTTATTTCCATTTGATCATCTCCAACTGTGTACATAAACCAATATTAATATGGCAAGGAAGGAAGGAAACATCATAGTACCTATTAAAAACATAGCATTCACGTTTTCATGGTGCTTGCCCAGCATTGAGGATAAGAACACGTTTGAACTAGGACAGTGTATGTCAGGAAGGTACCTTGTGTGCACACGCAGCGCAATGCGTGGTGACTTTACTATGCCATTGTTCTGCACAGCAATGGCATAATGATTTAATCACACACGGAGGTGCGCTTGCACCTCTGTGATGGTCAGTGGGAAGAACCAGTGATCACTATGGTGGGAACCAGAAACTGACACTCTTAAAAGTGTTGGTTTCTAAACAGGCTTCATTCATTGATTTCTTTTCAGCGGCATTCAACAGTACAGCAAATTATTTTCTTCATAGGGAACTCTTCTATTGGCACTTTGATTTTAGCAACAGAGTTGCTTTAAAGTGGTGCTGTCACTTTGGGGGTCAAACTAAACTAAAGGCAGTTTGTAGAACACTAAGCTGCATAATACTGTATAATAATCTTTATGGTGGCCTGTATGTTTAAAACTCCATCACAGGTCCTGTAGTGAGAGGAGCTGTTCAGAGTTAGGTGTTCAACACAACTGGAAGTGTTAGATACCCGCTGTCCCCATGGATCACCAACGCTGATGAGTTTTAACAAAAGAGTAAAGGGAAGTGTTAATATATAGCATTTCACACATAGGGTGTTTATGTAGGAAATCTGTCAATGCCATTGCAACATTTGTACTATCATTTGTAAACATACAGAATCAATTGACCCTATTGGCTGCTACTGCCACTCAGGGCCACCATGTAAATGGCAACAAAGTATAGGCATATTACTAATGTCTACATCTTCCCCAAAATGAGCCATGCATGGGCAGAGTGACCTCCACCTTTTAGATATGAATGACTGAAGACCAAGGTCATTCTGTGCATGCACTGCCCACACATAAATGACTAGTTTACAAGGGAAGATGTACACATCAGCAGTGTGTAATCATTGTTGGCACCGCCGGCTCCATATTGTTGATATTTACATATTGGCTGTGAGCAATGTCGGCAACAAAGTAGGGTCCATGTACGCTGGACACATGTAAACATTAGCACAAATAAGTATATGCTTACAGTGTACAAATATGGCCAAATGTGTGGCTGTGAACACAGATATTTCTGTTTTGGTCTATACCTAAATGATCTGGACAAAACAGAGCAGTGTGCATGGGCCCATAGCATACAATACTGCTTGCAGTATGTACATGAGCCCTTACAGGCTGCTTTCCATTTTGTTTCAACCCCATGTTGACAGGTTTACTTTGTGTGTTATAGACTAAACAATGTTTTTTATATCCCTCAGGTAAACTGAAGAGTTTGGGGGATCTGGTTTTGAAGCCTTTTGGGTTGTCAACAAACAACTTCCAAGTCAATCAGGATGCAGAAACTGGATCATATTCTGTCAACTTTGTTCAGAATCAAAACAACAGATGACATGCATACAAACTGCCACAATGCCATTGTTACTTGTGAGGACAGACTTCAGTCTTCAATGGTCAGCTGCTTCAGAGAATAGTAACAAATATATAAATGCATTAGTTCGTGGTGAACTCTGTTATAGGCAGTCATCATACATTTACCAACCTGTCTAAAGAGGAGGCTGCAATTTAAGAGATATTTAATATATTTTTAGTGTTTTTTTTTTTTTTTTGTTTTTTTTTTCCTTGTGCATCCTTCCTTTTTTTTTTTTTTTTTTTCAAAATGTTTTTTTTTTTTCTCATTTACATAAAAACTGTTCTGACTGCTGTCTATGAATTTTACTTACCTTTACTGCCCTGATGAAGTGCTGTGAAAGATGGAAACATGTTTTACTCATTTACTTTGAAAAAAAGAATTAAATGGCGGCAATATGACATCACTGAGAGAGTCTAATATTTATATACAGGCGGCCCTGGACTGCGCATTCCCAGTGAAATTAATATTTTGTGTTCCAGACTTTTAAATGTGTAAAAACAGGAAATGTGCTGCCTGTAACAAGCAGTCTTGTTCACCCAGGCTTTTTTAAAGTGATGTCTGTTAGAGGTTTTTTTTTTACATACCGTATAATTTGAAGCAAACCTTTTGGGACAGAAGTATGGGAACTACAGTTGTTGACATATTTATGAAAGTATGGGCTCTGTTCATGCCATACTGATTTTTACTTAACTACTTGCCGACAGTCAGCAGCTGGGAAGCGGCTTCCCTTGGGGTGTGTAGCTGTGCGATCCTGTGACTTCTTTGTTTGGTGGACCAATTATAGCGATCACATGATAACATGTAAACAAAACTGTCATGAATTGCTTTCTTTTTTATTCTGCTTTCTTTTGTGATCTGTGGTTGGCTCACAGCTATTACATGGTACCTGGTCCAATCACAGCACCCTGTACCTTGTCATGACAAGTGGCCAATCACAGCATTACAATAGTAAACAATGAGTCATGAATGAAAGCATTTGTGACAGTTCCAACAATTGCTTGTAACAGTGATCCTCACCGTTCTAAGCAATCACAGTGTGAAGAAAAGAAAAAAATCCCTGATCACCACCCAGAGTAGCACAGTGTCTCTATGGTGACACTGAACTACCCTAAAGACCAGTATGTGTAAAAAAAAAAAAAAAAAATTAACAAAAAATTGAATAAAACATTTATTTTTACATGCAAATCTCCAGTCAGTATCCCTGATCACTGCTACATCAGTCATATAATGATGCTTTACTGCACTGGTGAAAATATATTGCTTTGATTAGCAATTTGTGTTACCAAGCAATTGAACAGGTGGGACTAATAACTGACTAGTGAGTGTATAGATTGTGGAACCTATAACTTTCACACAGACTAATGCAGGCCATAGACGGGGAGAAAAACAACCTTTTTTTTTTTTTTTTTTTTTTTTTTTTTAGAAAACCGAAAAATCGGTCGTTCAATCAGCCGACGCTACCACCATTGGTAAAATAATGTCAGCTGATTTTCGTCCTGTCTACGGCCGTCAATTAATATAAAAGCGGTGTCCCTGCAGAGAGCTCTGCTATATTTGTCATTTAAAAGCGGAAGAAATAGAATATGAATAATAGGAAGAAAAAGTTGCAACATTGTATCCATTTTGGATACAGAGGTTTCTATTCAGATACAAATAGATACAATGTTGCAACCCTTAAAACTTTTCAATGTCAAATATCATAGTGGAGCTCTCTGCAGGGACACCGCTAATAGATTTGACATTTCTAAGTATTGCGGTTGCAAACATTGTATCTATTTGTATGGATACAAATAGATACAGATGTTCTTTTTCTTTGGTCACGACTCATGCGCATTTTTTTAATCGGGAAAAAGATCGTCCTATTTGCCCATCATTGCCATGAAAATCAGCCAATGGGCAAAATCGGCCGTTTTTTTTTCTCAACATGAACGATTAAAAAAATGTGTCAAAATCAAGAAAACCGGCCGACCAATTCAGCTACTAACGATCCGAAAATCGGCCGATTATTTTTATTGGACGAATTTCCGGCCGGTTTTCTCCCCGTCTATGGCCTGCATAAATAATATACACTGATTTGGGTTATTTTTACCAAAGAAAAGTAGCAAAATACATTTTTGCCTAAATGTATGAACATATACCGCACTCACCAGTTGGTGCTGAGAGTGGAGCACATTGTGGGGGTTGTTTTACTAAGGCTGGAGAGTGCAAAATCTGGTGCAGCTCTGTATAGAAACTAATCAGCTTCCCGGTTTAATTGCCAAAGATTAATTAAATGAGCTGAAGTTTAGTTTTAGTAAATCTCCCCCAATATCTTGTGGTGCACAGGTAAAGCTGGAATATGGAATACAAATTCTGATTTTGGGCTCACTCAGGCTTTTGCATTCATTATTTTTATTCACAATTTTGTATAATTTTAAGCCTTGGTTCACACTAGTGCGATATTTCAGCGATCTGCAACATTCTCATGACATGTAAAATTGCAGGTCAAGTGAAAACACATACGCTGTTTCTTTTTTTTTTTTTTTCTTTTTTGGTCACAATGCTTGGTTATTTGCAACAGCGGCTATACGCTTGATTAACCACTTATCGACCGTCACATACCTGGTGCGTCGCTGGTCTTCATGAGGCTGTACCAGGATGATGCCTGGAGGTGCAGACATCATCCTGGTACTATTATTTGTAGCTGACCGTCGACTTTCTTGTAATAGCAATCGGAGCAGCTAACAAGCTGCTTGATTGCTATTACAAGCAGCAGAAGGGGACATATCCCACTGCCCTATCTGCCCCATAGATCTCATAAGCGCGGGTGTTATTTTTAATTTTTCTAAATTTATGATGAAAGATTACTTGTTTGCAGAATTTTATAACAGAAACTAAGAAAAACCTGGGTTTTTTTTTTTTCAAATTTTTTTTGGTATTGTTCCATCACCAAAAGGAAGCCTCTAATTTTTAGAAAACAGTGATATATATTTCATTTGGGTAATTTTGTTGCCTAGCCAAGCATTTGCCAGTTGAAAGAAAAGTATGTTTTTAAAAAAAAAAAAAAAAAAAAAAAACCCTTATACTCACCCAGGTGGATGTAGCATTGATCCGATGCTTCACCTGTCCCCCACTGGCTCTGTACAGAGAACTGAGCGATCAAAAGCTGCAATCGCTCAGTTCTCCCCCTCCGCTCTGAGCACAGTGGTAAATGTCAGTCTCCAACTCTCTTCTCTGCCCCTCCAGCGCTCACTGGAACGCAGGGCTGTAGAGAAGGCGGGAGGGGCTGGCTCAGGCTCTCGGGAGATAACAGAGAGGCTGAGCCAGGTGCCAGTCCAGGGCTCTGGGTGGATCCCGACAATGTAGTCAGGATCTTTTCAGAGTCTGGATCGGCTCTGTGATGTCAGCCTGCAGCAGGCTTCAGCCCTTCAGCCAAACTGCACTCATGTGATCCATAGGAGATGTATAGCTAAAATAGCTTTGGCTATACTTCTCCTTTTTTAAAGTAGTGCAGTGCTGAATAGCAAAAAATGGCCTGGTCATGAAGGGGGTAAATCTTTCTGGAGTTCAAGTGGATAACCATTTAAGGACCAGGCCTTTTTCTGACATTCTTTGTTTACAAATAAAGATCAGTAATTTTTCCTAAAAAGTTACTTAGAACCCCCAAACATTATATATTTTAGCAGAGGCCCTAGAGAATAAAATGGCGGTCATTGCAATGTTTTATGTCACATGGTTTTTGCGCAACGGTTTTTCATATGCAATTTTTTGGGGAAAAAATAATACACTTTTTAATGATTTTAGAAAAAACAATATATACCCAAATTTTTTTGTAAAATAGGAAAGATGATGTTAGGTCGAGTCAATAGATACCTAACATGTCATGCTCTGAAATTGCACATGCTCGTGGAATGGTGCCAAACTAAGGTACTTAAAATTCTCCATAGGCAATGGTTTAAAAATGTGTATAGGTTACCAGTTTAGAATTACAGAGGAGGTCTAGTGCTAGAATTATTGCTTTCGCTCTGACATTTGCAGTGATACCTGACGTGTGGTGCAAACACCGTTTATATGTGGGCGTGACCTATGTATGCATTCACCACTTCGCGTGAGCACAGGGGGACAAGGGCACTTTAAAAAAAATGTTATTCACTTTATATTTACACTGCCCCTTTAAATTTTTCTGTTGATCACTTTTATCGCTATCACAACAAATGTAAACATCCCTTGTGATAACAATACAGCATGACAGGTCCTCTTCATGGAGAAATCTGGGGTTTATAAGACTCCACAATTCTACTCCTACCTTTAAAAGCAAGAGATTAAAAAAAAAAGGATCTTTTGCTTAAAAGAAAAAAAAAAGGCATTGTTGACATGGTGCCAGAACCGGAAATGACATTGCTCTGGTCCCCCTAGGTCACGGGTGTCAAACTGGCGGCCCTCCAGCTCCTGCCAAATTACAAGTCCCATGAGGCATTGCAAGATTGACAGTTACAAGCATCACTCCCAGAGGCATGATGGGACTTGTAGTTTTGCAACAGATGGAGGGCTGCCAGTTTAACACCTGCCCTAGGCCATAAAGATGATTGAAGGCCATCTTTCCTTCACTCATCTCTATTCCCAGGCTCACCGATCAGTCAGGTAAGGCTGGGAAGTTGTGGGGGTGGGGGACCCCTCCCACCGCTACTAAAAGTGATCTGGTGATGAATCTGCCTCTCAGGTCACTTTTAACAGAAAGTCTGGCACCTGAGGGAAAAAAATAATACTGAGGTTATGGCACCTAGCTGCAGCCATAACCCAGTATTAAACATCAAAGTAATGATGTGTTTTCCCGGTGAGGTGATCAGCAAGTGGTGTAAACCCAACATTTCCTATTCCTGATACACTATATTGCCAAAAGTATTGGGCCAGCCCTCTAAATCATTGGATTCAGTTGTTCCATTTACCTCCATGGCCACAGGTGTATAAAATCAAGTACCTAGGCATGCAGACTGCTTCTA